GCCACTGCACTTCAGCCCGGGCAACAGAGTGAGACTCCGTCTCAAAAACAAAACAAAACAAACAAAACAGAAATACATGGTAAATAGCGTGACCCGCGCTTTCCCTCAAAGGAAAAAATTAATAGATTTAATGGATAATGTCGGAAACTTTCCCTACACACAGACACACACACACTCATGCGTGTGTGTATGCCATGCACAGGGTAATTTTTGTTGCGCTTTTTTTTCTTCTTTTGGTTTTTAAGAAAAGTTTGCCCATATAGCTGGGCATGACTTCACTTGTCTAAAATGGTCAGCCTCAGTTTAATGAGAAGCACGGGGTATTGTAAATCCGGGGGTGAAAACCAAGCAAAGGAAAATGCAGGCTAAATATCAGGGAAAATTTCCCGATCATGAGTCTGGAATGAGGAAGAGGGGAGGTGTGGTCGGTGTGGTTGGTGCCTTAAATTAGATGGGGAGATGGTGGGTGGAGAAGAGCCCACTGTGGACTTCTTCCCTCCGTGTGTTCTCTTTGGGTTTGCTTGGCAAATGTGCTCACCTGCTTCTCAAAAACTCCATTTCATGGAAAGCAATGAGTCTAATGCAATGCAATTCAATAAGTATATGATTCTGGCTCCTTTCACTGGGTCGCCAGGAGTCTTTCCAATACCTGCTGAGAGTTTTGTGTGAGTTGGAGCTGTTCTCCTTGCTTATAGTGGAGGCAGAAGGCAGGCAGTGAGTGGACGGGTCACTCTCCCTGACCTGCCGGCCCCCATCCATTCTCTGCCTGCCTTCGCCATGCCTTGGAAGGCTGCCTCTGGATCACCTAGCTGCCCTTTGGTCTTGGTCTGTAAAGAGCCAAAGATTTTCAGGGCAAGAGGCAACATTATATAGGTACTTATATAACCATTTAAAAATGTAAAAATCGTTCTTTGTTTGCAGATCATATAAAAACAGGTGGTGGGGTGGATTTAGATTGTCAACTAAAGAAACAGTTCCTGTTGAGTAGTCTCTTTGCATGGCTGCAGCTCTTCCTGGAACCCAGTAACACCATTTTCCCACGTGCCCTTCAGGTGTAACAGCTCTCGTTGTTGCCAGCCCCTGGGTGCCTCACCGTAGCCTGGGGATTCCTTTCACTCTGCCCACACCTCTGTTAGCTCAACTCTTTTCAGTGTGCTTTCTGTTTCCTATCAGGACCACGGCGAGTTCAGGGAGAGAGTTCAGGAAAGGGAAACAGAGTTTATGGCACCACATAAGGCTAAATGTTTTGTCCAAGGCTGAGCAGATGTCCTCAGGCATTGTGGCTAGCACGGGACTCACTGCGGATCACACATCATGTAAAATAGGATGAACCCTGAGATTCTGGAAGCAAGCCTGCCTTACTTCTGGACAGACAGCACACATGATTACTTTTGAATTTCTTTCTGTGCTTCTATCCTCTTTGTTGCACCTAAAACAACCTCTTTTTCTCTTCTCTCCTCAGAGAGATGGCATGAAGAATGTCACTTTCCGGATAGAGTGTGCCAAAACGGTCTGTGTGGTTTGACCGGCAGGATGCTCTGGGCAGTGGTTTCATAATTACTGTTCATGCTTTAGCTCTTTAATAAGGGATGAGCCAGGTACAACACTGTTTACTGGGGATTCAAAGCGTAGCTGGTGTGTGCAGGGGGTCAAATCTGGTGGAGAGAAGGCTCATAAACATGAGTAACCACACCAATGGCTGTGTATGCGTTTCCTCTACAGTAGAAGGAGCTGAGTAAGCACTGGCACTGGCTGTTCCACCAGGCAAAAGGAGGATTCATGCTCTGCACATCCTAACGAGGGGGTCCCGCCGAGGAGCTCTTCAAGTCCGCCGGCGTCAGGTCATTTCCATCTGGCCTTTTAGTTGACTCCTAAGACACTCAGGTTCCCAACCACTTAACATTAATTCGGCAGTTGTGTTTGTGGTAAAAATGGACCCAGTGTCAACATTAATGGGGCTCTCCTTGCTGAGATGCCTGAAAAATCACCGCAGTGCAATCATGGCCTCTTTGCCTATTTTAACAATCCAGTCACCACAGTTCCTGCCCTCCAAGAACTTCCTATGGAATGCTGGCTGGAACCTTTGGTGACAACTTCTTCATTTTTTTTTTTTCTTTTTTTATTTGTGTTGGAGTCTCGCCCTGTTGCCCAGGCTGGAGTGCAATGGCGCGATCTCGGCTCACTGCAACCTCTGCCTCCTGGGTTCAAACGATTCTCCTGCCTCAGCCTCTGGAGTAGCTGGGATTACAGGCATCCGCCACCACGCAGCTAATTTTTGTATTTTTAGTAGAGATGGGGTTTCACCATGTTGGCCAGGGCTGGTCTTGAACTCCTGACCTTGTGATCCAGCCTCTTCGGTCTTCCAAAGTGCTGGGATTGCAGGCATGAGTCACTGAGCCTAGCTGGTGACAACTTCTTAACTCAGCTTGTTAAAACCCAGATGGCTGGGCCCCACTTCCAGAGGTTTTGATTTAGTAGATCTTAGGTGGGGCCCAAGAATGTCCATGTCTAATAATTCTTGGGTGATGCTATTGCTGCTGGTCCAGGGACCACCTTTGAGAGCCAGTGCTTTACTACAGAGACTACAGAGACTAAGAGGAAGCTCAAGAGTCAGGACTGATGAAGTGGTAACTGGGGCAACAGAGGCCTATCGCTCAGGGAGTCTGGAAGTGAAATTAGAAAAGGGAGGCATTGTGAACAAATGCTGAGAGCCAGTGTGCTTTTGGAGGCCTTTTGTGAGATTCTGAGTCACTGGGCCTGGAAATCTGTATTTTTTAAAGCACTCTCAGGTGATTCTGACACTCAGCTGGGTTTGAAAGCCTCTGTATATTCAACACCCTACAGTGTGTGGCACACGGTAGCTGCACAACGAAGACTCACTGAATTGATAATAATTCTGAGTGGGTGTTGGGAATGTTTTTAGATTTCTAAATGTATTGGCCCATATACTTATTTACCTCATCAAATTCAGTCCTAAACTGCCAGTCAATAGAGGAATAATATGCTCTCAAGTAGAAACTGGAGTTTTCAAACAGAATTAGTGTTCTCTCAGTGTCCCAGATTACAGAAACAAAAACCTGGCTGTAACCAAAGATGTGGCATTAGTCACAAGGTACAGATTCCTGAGAATGGCATAACACAAAATCCCCTTTCTTCTTCATGGCTGAGAATCTGCTTGGCTCCTTCCTGTCTGCACATGCATGCACGCCACTGTGTGTTCTTCATTAGAAAATAATTAGAAGCAAACAGCTGTTAGTCAAGCGAGCTGCATTTTGCCCACATCTTTTCAGAGTTCAATCCATTACCCCAGGGGGCAGGCTTATCCTAAAAAAAGAATCTCACTGCTTTAAACGCGGCAAAACAGAATAGAAATGCGTGGCAATTCAGGTGAGCTTGAGCTAGCTCAGCTGAGGTAAAGGTGACCATCAATAACGTTTCGTTACACTGCGTGCAATGGTACTTCTTTTGATTTTGTTGGAGAAGTCCTGCTCCAAAATTAGCAAATTAAGTCAGCGAATGATGAAAATAATCTTTGTTGCTATTGGAAGGGGTAAGGCTGTGTGTGTGCGCGCGTGTATGTGTGTATGGACGGTGATGGGAGCTGGCTCTATTGAGTCTTTGACTTGAGGCTCTGGAGTTGGCTCAGTTCTGTTTGCAGCATGAAACTGGAGTCTGTAGCCCTGAGTTGGGGGCCTTGGGTTCCAGACCTCAGCAGAACAAGGACTTTGCCTATCTTAGTATAAAATCAGGGTGGGAACAGATTATGTCTAGAGTCTTTTCAGCTATAATTTTCCAGTGCTCTTTGATAAGTGGCATAGTGCAGATGTGAATGGGCACGGCTAAAGAGTGAAGGTGTTAACTCAATCATGTGAATTCAAAGCCATTTGGACCAAGAAGAATAGAAAAGAGGCCTTCAGGCTGGGCATGGTGGCCCATGCCTGTAATCTTAGCATTTCAGGAGGCCGAGGTGGGCAGACTGCTTTAGCTCAGGAGTGTAAGACAGGCCTGGGCAACATGGCGAAACCCCATCTCTCAAAAAAAAAAAAAAAAAAAAAATACAACAATTAGCTGGGTGAGGTGGTGTGTGCCTGTAGTCCCAGCTACCTAGGGGGCTGAGGTGGGAGGATGGCTTGAGCCTGGGAGGTTGAGGCTGCAGTGAGCAGAGATCCCACAACTGCACTACAGCCTGGGTGATAGAGTGAGAACCTGTCTCAAAAAATACATAAAATAAAATAAAATAAAATAAAATAAAATAAAATAAAATAAAATAAAAAAGAGGCCTTTAGGAAGCATTAACCGCCTCCTATGGCTTACACTTCCCAATAAACCAAAGAGGATTTTAAGCTCTGGAGGTGTGGGGGAAAGAGAGATGGTGGAGAAAAAAGATTTGTTCACAACCAGGAAGAGTGACTCCTAGATCCATGGCCATTGAGATTTGCTGGTGGGCCCCGATACACTGGCAGGAGGCTCAAATAAAAGGGAATGGGCTTATGTTATGGCAAAAGGAGTAGAGATTAGCATCAAGGAGAATGCTGCCATTTTTCTTAGACAGTAGATTGTCTACTAAGTGAAGTTATGAGATGTTATGGAAATTTATAGTCACCCTCTGGGGTTACTACCCAAGTTACTTGACTCATAGTCCATGCTTTTTCCACTACTTTGCCGTGGTGATTTTTTTTTTTTTTATATGGAACACTTCATGAATTTGCATGTTATCCTTGCCCAGGGGTCATGCTAATCTTCTCTATATTGTTCCAATTTTAGTATATGTGCTGCAGAAGTGAACACCATGGTGATTTTTAAAAAGCCTAGTTTTCAACCCAGATTATGTGGAAATTGAGAGTAATTACTTGTACTTCAAGTCCATAATTTTAAATAATCGTTCCCCTGTGATAAACTGGATTTTAGGTTGGGATTTTATCACTTGGAAAGATTCTGATTCTTCACTATGTAAGTGTTTTATCAGGACTGACGATAGATTTTTGAGTAGAGAGACACACCTTGATCGGAGAGTACCACTTGCGTGGGGAAGAAGGCCGACGCATATTGTTGTTGAGATTTCGTGGCTCAGGGAATTCATATTCCTGCTCCGGCATCTTGACTCTTGCATTCTTTGCCTTTTCCAACTTAGCACCTTCTTCTGTGGAGCCCTTTTCTCCCCAACGAACCTAAAATAAATAAAATACAAGGAAACAAAATGACAAAATATGCTGCCCCTCGAGAATGAGACTGACAAATACATGCATGAGTTGCAATGTGAATGCTACCCAACCCTGGATTCCTTTGGGTTTTGAGGACCAGGGAAGAGGGAAACTGTGGAAAAAGAGAAAAGGGGAGAACCGAAGGAGCAGAGAGCGTGAACCACATGGGCGGATATTTAGGGAGGAATTGTCCAGGCAGCGGGGACAGTACACGCAAAGACCTTGCAGGTTCAGGTACGAACTTTGGATTTTAATTCAGTGAGAAAAGAAATCATGAGGAGGTTTGAACTGATGTGTTCCCTGCTCTGACTCACAGTGGGCAAGACATGGGAGCGCACAGTGAAAAGGCTGTCCCTCCTATCTCTCCATCTGTCTGCCTTACAGTCCATATCCCCACCAGACCTCAAGCAGGTTTTCAGCAATCTGCTTCGGGTTTCTGACATTGAGTGGTCAGCGTGGTCTATGGCCATACTGCCCTGAGCATGCCTGATATCTAGAGGCTAAGCAGGGTCGGCCCTGGCTGGTACCTGGATGGGAGTAGTCAGCACATAGATAAGTATATATTAAACTGTCCTCTTACCTCCATTCTTTTAATGCCTCCAACGCCTCTCCCACCATAATAAGAGGCATCTACCGTTGGCCACTTTTTCTTAGGCAGACCATCATCATCTTCTTCCTGCAGAGAAATTGTGGCACATGAAGGAAGCAAAACAGCACTGCTGTGTGGACCTGTCTACTGTGGCCAAGTGATTAGGAGTAGAGCTTGTAGAGTCAGACTGCCTAGAGTACAATCCCAGTGCTACTGTTTCCTGGGATCTTGAGCCAATCACTGAAACCACCTAAGCTTGTTTTCCTTATCTATAGAGTGGGAATGTAAGCAGTGCTACCTGGTAAGTTTGTGGTACAGTCCTGTTCTCTTGTTCTTTTCTACAGCTCTACTCCTTTGTGGGAATCGCATCTAACCCCACCTACATGCTGATGACTTATGAATTTATATCTTCAGCCCTGATGCCTCTGAACTCCAACTACTCACTTGACATTCACATTATTTGGGGGCTAAAAAAGATCTCAACAATACCACCGCAGAGATATCCTGATTTCCCTACCCTAAACGTGCTCCTCCTGTAGTCTTCCCCACTGCCTGGAAGTCACTCTCTCTTCTTTACTGCCTTTCCCCCACTTGTCCCAACTTGCCAGCTAGTTCTGTTGCTACTACTTAAAGATCTGAAATCTGTTGACTTCTCCACCCCAACCACCACCCTGGGCCCACGCCCCCATGCACTTGCTCCTGGACACTGTGGTAGCTTCCCAACTGGCCTCCTGCTGCCCTTAGACTCACCTATGATCTGTTCTCCACAAAGCAGCAGGGTAAGTGCAAATGCCAGTTATGCCCTGTATGTTCTGGCCTTTGCTCACCTTTCTGGCCTTCTTCCTTATCATGCGCCCCCCGCCCCCCCCAACTTCCTGAGCTCCAGCCTGCCTCCCCCTCTCTCAAATACTCTGAGCAAATTCCTGTCTTGGGGCCTGTGCACAGTGTCCCCTTGTCCCCTTGTCCAGGAAAGCACTTTCCCTATCCCATCTTCTGATGGATGGATTTTCATATCACTCCTCAGAGAAGCCTCCCCTGGAAATTTCTTCTAAAGTAGCCGGTCTCTCCATCCCATCAATCTGTTTTATTTTTAGTTAAGCATCTCATCATGGCTTGATACTTACTTAATATCTGTCTCTCCACACTAGAACATACGTTTCACAGAGGCTTTTGTCATGCTTACAATTGTATTCCCAGTTTTTAGAATAGCACTACATAGTATGTGGTGGGTGCCCAAGAATTATCTGTTGAATTTACAAATAAGTTAAATGAGATAACTCAAATAAAGAAGTTAATTTAGTGTCTGCAACTTAGCTCAGTGACAAGAAGTTAGTGTTTATATTTTTTAAGATGAAGAAAGAAGAGGAACTTGTAACTTTATGGATGGAAAAAAGGGAGGAGATGTAGCGACTGCTCTTCATCTTGGCACTGTAATTATTCTTGTTGTGCGGAGAAAAATATCACTGTTTACAGTCATGGATGGATTATAAGCAAGTGGCATGATTTCTCCTCTGGATAGAGAAAGGAAGCTGGAAAAGGGGTTGATAAAGCAGAGGAAAGAACAAAAGAGGGAGAAATTGCTCACAATGCTGAAGCCTGCTTGTCATAGCCTTGTTTTGGTGGCATTTGGGTGAAGTTCTATGCAGGGTACCACTGCGTGGGATGGGGTACCCATACAGGAGGCAAGGTACAAAGAAGCAAAGGCAGGAGAGGTCAGGATGAAAGGTGACAAAGCAAGCAGAAACATGTTGGCACATTAAGACTCCCTGAGTTACACGTTGTGCTTGGGATGGGCAGTCTTCTTTAAAATGATTTTTAAAAAATTTAATACATCTTAAAGGACAGAGAGGTCATAGCAGACTAGGATGTACAACATTCTCACAGCTGACACTTGGGTGTCTCTCTCTCTCTCTTACTTGGTTGCTCTCTCTCAGATTCTGCTGACCTTTGTATTCTAAGTGCAAAGTAGGTACTCAATAAACACATATTGCATTCATGATAACACGTCATTGAATTTATGCAGCCTTTCCCATGTTATGTGCCAGTCACTCTTCTAAGTGCTTTAAATGTATTATTAATCCTTTAATCTTGCAACCATCCAAGAAGGTACATGGTGTTATTATTCCTATTTTAGAGAATAAGAATAGAGAGGTTAAATGACTTCGGTCACTCAGCTTCTAAGTGACAGAGCTGGATTTGAACTCATGCAACCTCATTCTCGTTTGTTTCTCAGCATTGGCCAGTCTGGATTTTGTTCTTCTGTGGTTTGCTTTTCTAATCATTTGATGGCAACAAATACACGCTCATTTTTGACTTCCCCTTGTACCTGCTAATTTCGATACTTGTTTTTTGTTTCTTTTTGGAGACAGGATCTCACTCTGTCACCAGGCTGGAGTGCAGCCTCAACTAACCCAGCTCAAGCAATTCTCTCACCTCAACCTCCCTGAGTAGCTGGGATTACAGACACATATCAATGTGCCCGGCTAATTTTTCTATTTTTTTTTTGTAGAGATGGGGTTTTGCCACATTGCTCAGGCCGGTCACAAACTCCTGGGCTCAAGTGATCCTCCCATCTTAGCCTCCCAACGTGCTGGGATTACAGGTGTGAGCCACTGCACCTGACCTTAATTTTGATAATTTACAACTGCAAAATATGACAAAATAAAGTCCCCAACACAATAAAATATTATAGTTCATATGATTTTACCTTATAATTTCAGAGGTTTCTTTCACCTTATGATGTGAAAGCAGGAATCTTATATATCCTATATGTGGTTAAACTTTACATTGGCGGTGGACGTATGTTTCTGTGTAAGTGTCTGTGAACATAGATAAACAAAATATGGCTCTGAAAGCCTGGGCATTCCCGCTCTGGGGCAGTTTTCCAAAGGAGATAACAGAAATTCTATACCCTAAAGCTGAACACAGCAACACCACGAACGTTAAGAAACTCCAAGGATAAAGCCGCTTTATTCCATAGGGGACTCAACTAGGTTCATGAGCCTCTTAATCATTTAGGAGCTCATGTAATTAAGCCTTTTCACTGCACAGAAGAGGAGTCAGATCTAGAGAAAAGAAGTGATTCCTGAAGGTGAAATTCTGGTGTGGTTATCTGATGCCTTGTCCAGGGATTTTTCTCCCCCTATATTTTATGAAAAGAACTTAAAGAAGGATTTACAATTGGCTTTCTCTAATTCGCAGCCCCGTTGAGTGCTCAGGATATAGTAAGATGCACAAAGCCGGTTTCCGCTGCTTTCCAGGCTAGCTTGCACACCAGGGTAACCCTCACTCTAGTCCCTGGCCCCTCCCTCTAGTCCCTGGCCCCTCCCTCTGGTCCCTGGCTTGAGGAAGGAGGCCCCGCCCCCGTGCTCAGGCCCCGGGCAGGGCCTGGCCTTCTCGCAACAGGAAATGCCTAGGGCTTGGGCAATCTCCATACACTGCAGCGCCACCAAGCCCGTCGCTTAATCCCCTGACCGGAGCTGGCCTGCCAAGCTCAGACAACAGCACCAGGCAGCACAAAGGCCCAGGGGCTGACGGACGGGAGAGTCAGAGTTTCCCCTGCAGTTAGCATGGGTCTGTTTACACATTCTGGAGACAGAAGGGTTTTGCAATTCCCAGGAAGAGAAGGGAATCTTTGATGTGTCTTTTCATTCGGCCAAAAATGGATGGAGTAGAATCCCAGCCCCTCAGCAAGGCCACTAAGACTCTCGGCAGCACCGGAGGGTGGATTTTTACATCTCATTATATCATAAAGGCTCTTGAGAACTTCCTCCTACACTGCCCTTCAAGGATGGTAGCAGGGAGAGAGAAAACACCAGTATAGAAATCCTCAGTGTGAGCTGGCTTTCCTTTAGTAAACTAAAACAAAACAAAAAACAAAACAAAACAAAACAAAACAAAAACCTTACTGTCCTCTATGGTTATTGGAGGATGGGGCTGGATGAACCCAATTGCTTTGGATGAGAAATCAGGGGTTTGTGGGGAATGAGAAGATGAGTAGAACAGAGTGGGGCCGAGTTACCAGCAAACTGCTAAGACCCCCAATCCCCCCGAGTGGTAGAAGTGGCCGGTGGTAAAGAAGAGGCCCTTTACTATTCCGCCAGGGCTTGTGGGCTGCAATATACTTTAAAACCTTCAGTAAAATTTGCTGCGCAGCTGGATGTGTGCCAGTGCTGCTAGATCGTGTCTAGCAAACCGAGAAGATGAGATAACGCGGAAGAAGCAAGGAGTAGGAGTCAGTGGTGCCTGGGAGAAACCGCAGGGATTGGGGAGGGAGGCTGGTTTCCCATCAAGGGAAGTTGTGTTTAAATCTGAAAGGATGTGGTGGCTCCAGACGTCCAGCTGGCTGGAGCTTGGGTAACAGAAATGGCAGCACATTCCTCAGATGGTAGAGGCCCCTTCTGACCTGCATGTCCTCAGGCAGACCTGGGTGTGCCTGCAGGCACAGTCCTGCTTGAGGAAGAAACAGCTGTAGAGGATGAAGTCTCTGAACTCACTTGGTTAGCCTGTAATTGGATTAGCCCTATGCTGTCCTCAGACCCTGAACTTTTCCCATCTTTCCCAATCATGCCAGGCTTTTGTGCAGCTCCGCGCTTCAACATGCAGGGCTCCACATGCCTGGAAAGCCCTTCTCCCATTTCTTCTACCCATCCCTTCATGTTGTTAAAGTGTAACCTATTCTGCGAAGAACTCCCGGATTCCCCAGAGAATGCAATACTCCCTCCTCATGTCTCCACAACTCCACCTTCCACTCACGCAACACATTTAACTGTTAGTTATTAAGCAAACCAGAGGGTAGAAGGAATTAATTTTCCAGATTCTGGGGCTGCCTCACTCCTGCATGTAGACTGTGCACAGGTCAACTCCACAGACTTGATGTGAATAGTGCCCCCTGGAGTTGTGCATAGGGTGGCCCTCTCAGACTTAGTTGATAAGTTCTTTAACATTCCTGCTTCTCTGGTATCCATTTACTAGAAGAGCCACATGGCCAGTTTGACCCAAGAAGGCTCACAATTCCCAATTCACTGCAAGTTTCAATAGGAACTATCAATGAAAAGAAGCACATAACTGAAAGAGAATCAAGCCCA